GCTACAGCACACTCATTTAGGGCATTTCAATATTGCACCCTGACTCAATTGACGCTTAGGCGGTTGCCTCAATCACTCGCAGCCAACTGTTTATTTATTGCTTTACGTAGAATTCCAGCATCCACTGTTAGTTGGGGGCATGCACATTGCCTGTGTGGTCATGTACCCAGCATAAGATGTTGACGTCTACCTTCTCACCCCGCCCCCCCACCCCCCGCCAACGCCCTCTGCTTCAGATTTTGGCCAGTGAGACCAGCTGATTTGATTATGCGGGCCCGGGTCACTGCTCAGGGCGTCGCCTCAAATTGGAGAAGTGTTTCCGACTTGTCCAAAACCAGACCTTTTATCTTTCGAACTTAGTTTGGTGGTTTGGTGTCTCCCCTTGAGTAGTGGCTGGAGCCAACTGTCACTGTCGTTGCCAAAGCTTTAGACCATGTTTCTCAAAAAGAGACCACATGTCTGCTGGGTTCATATCTATGTGATGGCAATTGAAACGTCCACATTAGGTTTGCCTGATTGCTTGAGGGATTGCTTGAGGGTTTGCTTGAGGGTGTGCTTCAGGGTTTGCTTGAGTTTGGGTGTGCTTCAGGATTTCATTGAGTTTGCTTCACGGTTTGCTGGATTTGTTTGGGGTTTGCTTCAGGATGCTTCAGGGCTTGCTTCAATTGAGGTTTGCTTCAGGGTTTGCTTTAGGGTGCCTGCTTGAGGCTTTGCTGACGCTTTGATTTGCTTTGGGGTTTGCTGGATTTGTTTGAGGGTTGCGGGGTTTGCTGGGTGTGCTTGAGGGATTGCTTGCGGGTTTGAGCGCGCTTCTGATACTAACCCCTAAGTGACTTCCAGTCATGGGAATCAAGCACACGGTACGTAATCATTTCGGGTTCATGCCGAAAATTCGAGCAGTTGAAGGACAAAGGGGACTGGCACTTGTTTTTTTCACCAGAAACCACCAGAAATCTTTAAAGCAATCCCGGGCACCGGCGAAGCTGCCGAAAAGTCCGATCCGTGTTTGGACTGTTCGCGTCTTTTGCGAGGACCAGGATTTGCCGCTCTTCGGGAACTTCGGGCTGCCGTCGGTGAGCTACGGCTGCAACCACGCGGTCTACTTGCAGAGCTGCGACTTCAAGAAGGACTTGTTCAAAATCTGGACCTGGGGCAGCTTGGATTGAATTGACTGCTTCCTTTTTTGTGCAGGCTTTCTCCTCTCTTTTTTTGCCGGGGGAGGAGGGGAGTTGTTGGTATGTTCAGTCTTGTTTCAGTTTACTTGGGAGAGTGGGTGTGTCGGAGCGTGGAGCCAAAATTCCAGAGACATGGTGAGCTTTTTCTTGTCTTTTCCAGGCCAACCTGCTTTTAGACTATGGCTTGTGCTTGGTCCAACAAATTGAGCACAGGGACTCTTTCTTTAAGTTGGTTGGAGGGGGTGGGGGGGGTGTATTGGATGGTGGAGCTTCTGGTGGGAAAGGGAAGATAGGCTCCAAAGCAGACACACCCGTCTCCTTGGGGTGTGTCTTTTTTGAGGATACCCTTTTTCTGGTTTTAAAGGGAAACCAAAATGACAAAACATCATTTTGGTGATCCCCTAAAAAAGGACAAGGCCCCTTTGATGTTCGTTTAAAGCCAAAGACTGTGTATTTGCCATGGCCAGAAAGAAACGCGGACAAACGTGCCTTGGTTTCAACTTGCTTTGGAGGGTCCCTGTTGTATTGGTAGATGCCGCCTTTTTTCCCCTCGGTTTGGGACAGTTCATTCCGCACTTGTTTTCACTCCGGGCTGTTCTAGAAAGCGACAATTGCATGCCAAGATGTCCTCAACTTCCTCGTCTGTTTCTCTTTCTCCTCTCCTTTTCTCACTGCAAGACATTCCCTTGCAGACCAGCATGGAACCCCAAAGCCATCCATGATCACAGGACTATATATGCTATGTGGGGACCCTTTGTTGGGTTTATTGCGTTCATGTGAAGGGAGTAGTCATTGGGATGGGAATCAACCACTTCGGTACTCGGGCTGATTCTAAGTGAGTTTCCTCTTGGTGCGGTGATTTTTTTCACGGGAATTATTGGAAAACCTCAAGCATGTTTGAGGGAACCCTTGGTTCAACGGGAAACCAAGAGCCAAAACGCCATTGTGTGGTACCCAAATGTGGCTCTGCTTTTGGTTTCCCCAACACAACACACCCAAATAGGATTCCCCAGTCAAAGCGCACTCCCTACAATTCTTCGTTTCTGTCTTTCTTCTTGGTTTTTTAACCAAAGGGTCCGAAATCGATCAACTGGTCGATCACTAAAATTCGCCGGGCGAGGTTCCTTTCGTGGCTTTCCCCGGGCGCCGGGGGAGCAGAAAAACCGCAGGTACCACGGTGACGCTGAGCAAGCGCATGCTGCTGGGCTGGCCGGCGGCGCAGCGGGGCTACCCCACCCGGGCCGGCGCCTCCTGGACGTGGAACACCGGGGCCATCTGCGCCTCAGTCACTGCGGACCAAATCACAGCACCTGGGACTTGGTTTCCATCGAGTCTGAGAGGGGCGGCCAGATTTTTTGGATTTTTGTCCGCTAGCGGAGTTTTTAGTCCAAGCAATTTTCTCTTCAGTTGCCAATTCCGTTTGGTTTGTTTTCTTTCTGTTTGTTTTCCTACCTAAAAGTGTGGTGAATTCTCGTGCTGGCAAGCTTCCCCAACCGCCAAAATTGTGTTTCCCTTGTTTTTTAGTGCGTGAGTTTGTTTTGAATCTAGTCAAGCTGAGGTCGACTAATTCTCTCTTGAGATCAAGTTCGCGATCGGAGGGGCAATCCCGTGCGGCTTGCCGGGCTGTCAATTTATTTGTTTGCCCCGCTGGGAAGCTTAGCGGAGTCATGGGTGGCCTTTTTAGTGATTGGTTTGAACATAGACGGCACCGGTTGCAGGTTGGCTCGGTCTTCATTTACCAGTGTCACCGACCTTTACCAAAAGGACGCCTAGAGGAGTAAGTTCCGTTTGTTTTGAAGGCCGGTGAAATCGTGAACCGCGCCTGCACTGAATTTCTTGCCTAGAATCTGCTCGGGACAAAATCGCGGTGCGCGGTGCCCTGGTGCAAACAAAACATCAGGTAGTCCAAGCTTCCGCGGATGTTTGGGGCTTTAACAGGATCCTGATTGGAGGGAAACACAACTAGCAAACCGAGTGCACGAGACCCTCGGCCGCAGGTTTCTTTCTTGTTTTGCCCTCTGTGCAATCCAGCACTTCGTCCGCCACTGATCCGGCACGCCTCCGGCCGGCCTCGTGCAAGCGCTCCATAGCTCCAACTTGGCCTAAAACCCCGGGCTCAGCCATGGCGCGCTGTCTTTTCAACCTCGTCGCGGGGGCTGCCGTCGCCTATGCTGCCTGTGATGGTGACAATTGCGAAGCGGACCTCTCGGAACTGATGCAGGTGGGCGGATTCGATTTTTGTGGCACTTCCCGTCCAGTGCTCCTTGAAAAGGCGAGTTCTGGGAGTAGAACGAGCGAACAGCGTGGTCCTGAATTCGGCGGATCCGATTCGTACAACTCGGATTTTCGGAATAGAATCTGCAGATTCTTTCCAGGGATTGGTGGTTGAAATTTGCCCAAACCCTGCGTTGGGGGGGGGATAGTGGTTTGTCAAAAGAACAATCGGGATCAACCTGAGTTGATCAGGGTTGTGAAAAGGATACATCAAGCCAGGTAAAACTACCAGCTGATTTTGAGAAGCCCGTTGCTTCCACGGTATGTTCAGTTTAAAATGAAATATCATATGCTTCTCGTAAACAGTCTAAGACACACAAAATGCAGGAAAACCTTCTTTGGCGTGATTGTTTGGCCATGGTTTCTATGCTACATAAGTTCTGTAATTCTAAGCCTGAAACCCGTCTAAGGCAACTTCTTCAGAGCGGGGCTGCCCCGCCTTTTTTGGGGCCAATGGTTTTCAGGGATGCCGACGGAAGAGGCGTTATTCGTTCCCAGATTTGGTGATAACCTAAATGGTTTTGAAGTGAGTGAGTGCCGTTGTTTGAAGCGAGTGAACAAATTTGTAGATGGTTTTGAAGTTGAGCGCCCTTCAACTGAGACGCTGTTTGACATATGAGAACCTGTAAGGTGCTAGCCAGCCAGTCGACGGGAAAATCGTTTTGGGTAGGCCCCTATCCGTTGATCAGCTCATAGGAACAACTCCGCCCCTGCAGAAAACATGTTAAGAGAAACGGAGCGCCTTCGCCAGGCTCGGGCTGCTTAGGCGTCCGAATGTTGTTCTCAACCGAGTTTCAAGGGGCTTAGTCCATGAGTTGACGGCGCCGGGTTTGAAATGTCGTGTGCTGCAACCCGTGTGTTTTTTTTCCCCGGCGGGTTTGAAGTGTCAAGTCCAAAGGCACTTGGGCAACCAATCCAAATCCAAGCTTGTGGTTGATATCTCCAGATTTGGTTTTTGGCACGACTTCGTTCAGGTCCTTGTCCGGGGTTCCTTGTTTGAGTTCTCAAAATGGGCTGGAACTTCCCAAAATGGGGGGATTCTTCCGGGCCAGGGCGGGGTTCGCTGGTTTTCCTTGAAACCAACCCCAACGAGGGCACCCTCAGTTGACAATGGCCGCAGCTATTGTTAAGGAACCTTGCTACAGCGAAATGGGGTTCTGGGTGCTCTGGTCGGCTTGAGTCAGTCTTTCTTCAAGGGTGGATATCAAGAGGCACTTCACCCTCTCATGCTCTTTGATTCTTAAACCATCCCACCCCGTTCCTCACATGCTTGTTTCCCACTGTGTTGCACAAGGGGATACGCCATGAACCATCCAAGAAACCCAGGACTGGTCTTATCCTTCCCTTGGGGGCCTTTCCTCGGTTTTGGGAAGGCAAACCAATAGCAACTCAAGCAGGTGGTGTTGCTATGAGATCCTTCGGCCCGTTTCGTCCTTTCCCACCGCTGGTAAGAGAGAATGCCGCAAAAAATTGACGGCTCTCGCGCTCCAGAAATCCATGGACGAGCGAGAGAAAAGGATGATAGAGAGGTGGCCCTTTCACCCAACCACCATATGTGCCGCCCAAAAGCCCAGATTTGACTCCCGCCTTCGAATGGCGTACAGACCAGTTGGTGCAAGATATGTCCCATCTCTTTGTCTCTCTCGACCGTCGATCCACATTGCTTCGGCTGCGTCTTTTTGACTCGAGGTGGACCTCAAGAACTCCCGGGAGAAGCGGAAGCATGCGGAGGCCATGGCCATGACCAACTTGACGCTCTGCGTTTTTTTTGTTTCCCCCTTTCTTTGATTGTTTTGTTCTCGCGTCGAGAGGGCGGGCGAAGACCCCAAGGGCCGGAAATCGGAATGGGGGAGCCAACTGTGGGTCGAGACCCTCGGTAACCGTCCTATGGATTTCCCTAGGTTTTTTTCCATGAAGGGTCCGAATTCCCCTCAGTTGGGGGGGGGGTTGTTGTCCATAGTCCTTTCAACGAAGCCCCAAAAGGGTAGCCCCGAAAAGACACCACGATGTTTTTTAGGACCCCTGTTGGTTGGTATTCAAATGGAAGCCGCAAAATCCCGTGTTCGTTTGAGGGCACCCCTATTGTTGAAAAACATCTATTTGGTGTTTGACTTGTTTGATTGGAAGTGCCGTCCTCTCTACGCTCTAAGCTTGTTAGGGGAACATTACCAATTTTTGGGGAAGGAGGGGGGGTTCGTGGACTTTGGGGTCTCCTTCAAATATGCCATAGACGAAATGCGGCAACTTGGAAATGGGTTTCTGCGTACCCCAACTTGTTTTCGGGCCAAGTCTAGGGCAAGACTCCCCACTCTTTGAGGGTAGCTTGATTCAGGTTGCTTGGAGTCGAGAACTCCTCCTTTGTGCAGGGCCCTTGAATGATTCATATCAGCCAGACAAATCACGAGGATTCCCTTGTGAAGAAGGGTGGCTTGTGCATGTAGCCTTTAAGGAACCCCCGTTGATGCTAGAAGACACCCACACATTTAGTGAGATGGTTTTGAAGGGGCAAAACCCCATGTTTGGAGTTGATTTTAGGGGCGAGGCCCCGTATTGGGGTTGGTGTTCAGCGCAACCCCCTTTTTTTGAAAGGGGTATACTCCCCTACTTGTGTTTGGCTTTAAAGACAACACATGTTTGTTTGGGGTGGATTGGAGTTTGAGTTTTGAAGTTTGAAGCTTGAATTGTGCGTGTAGGCAAAAAGCAATATTTCTGAGGGTCTGTATAATTACCTTGTTAGGAGCTTGTTTCAAACGCGGAACCAACCATTCTTGGGGTTTCCCAAGTTTGAGCACCCACAAATTTGTCCTTTTTAGGGTGAGTCTGTGTTTACGACCTTCGTGGAAACACGTCTTGTTGCCCCCCCCCCCCCACCCCAAGTGGCAATGTCGTCCTCTGTGTGTGAAATTCTGGAAGACGGATCCCTGGAAGGAACGGAAAATCCGTCACATCTCACAGCCCTTAGAATCGGGGAGCCAGAACAACCGATTCTTTGTGGTGGGAACCCCCAAGGACCATGATTCTGACATGTGTTAAACGAGCAAAGGTTTGGTGAACCACCTGAAAGAAGCGACCCTTCCGGACCCCCAAATTCAAAGACAAGCCGAAGCCAACCAAATTGTGGGTTAAGCTTGTGACAAGCTTGTGAAACAACTTGTTCAATTTTGAACCGCCACCTTTTCGGGCCTTTGTTCAGTGAGTCTTTTTGGGGCACCGGTAAATGTGAGTTGGGGAAATCCCAAGTTGGACCGACTCCGATCGAAAAAACAAAACTTTTGGGCTCAGGATCGAGAAGGCCTTCGAACACATCAAGGGCGCCGGCACTCACTTCGACCCCACTGCCAGCTCCGTCATCGACACGGCCTTTGATCACGCCCTCCGGTGATCACTTGCCGAGCTGCGAGCGGTGGGGTGAGTTGATGTGCAAAACCCGGACTTCCCTTTGCGGGATTTTAAGAGATGTTTTGCAAAGGCCCCAAACTTTTCGGTAGGTGTTTAGAGGGAGCCGAGATCACGACTGGGAATGGAACTGAAGCAAATGGAGGTAGAGCTGAGAAAACCTGGCTACCCAAACAGGTGGCATCGAGATGGGTCTGGGTCCAACTCCTGTGAGCCGCGGCATTGCGAGGGGAGCTTAAAACTGCATTTGGCGGTGTTTTCCCTTTAAGCCACAATTCAAAGTGTAAGTTTTGGATGATGTGACTTTCATGGACCCAGATTTGTATCAGCACAGGAGGGCATCTTGTAACATGGGGCTCTCGTTTTTCTATGGTTTGAGAGTAGTACTCTGCCCAGACACCCAACATTGGGCTTGGGTGTCCTTTGCTCTGCTTTGGAAAACTAGTGTAATTCTTGGTACAGATTGGAGATTCCCGCATTCAGCCCTCATTTTGTGGGAACTTTGAAAATGGCCGGCTTTGAGGACCTAAAGTCAGGCTTGTTTGGAGGGGCTTTGTGGGTTGTTTTGTAAGGAGGTGGTGGAGGTGGTGGGAGCCTTGTGTTTTTTTGATGGGAGCCTTGTCCCTTTTGATGAGTTGTGGGTTGTCCCTTTTGATGGGAGCCTCTTTTTTTTTCCGGAGGTGGTTCCACGAAACCCCATGACGGATGTCTCAAGCACTGCGGCTGATTCCCAAAGCGATTGGCGGTGTCCGAGTGTCCCTTTGCCACAAGACAAGAAGCCACTAAAGCTCGGGTTTTATTCCAAGCCCATTTCCCATGGGGAGAACTGCACATCACCTTCATAGATGCTCCAGATATGCCCCCCAAAAGCGCTTGGGTACGGCATCTGACTGATTGAAGCGGGGTACGAAAGAATTTTGTCTGTTTACTGGTTTTCCAATCAGGATTGTGGACAACAGGATCGGAATTCCAACACAACCCATCTTGAACAGCCCAGTCAGGCGTGGAACAACTATCCAATATGCTCCTATGATCGACTTAAAGTATTTGATTTTCTCGTTCCCCGTAGCCCGATTGAATTGAATTGACCTTGGTCTGACCAACCTCTTATGCAGCTTACTTGTGGCTTCCAACAGAATTGCCACTTTTGGATGTCCCATAAACGGCCGATGTCTTTTTTTCTTCTCCGGCTGGCCCATTCTCAGCACAAGCATCGAATCGACCGTTTGGTCTTCGGGGTTTCGCTTTGGTCTTGACAGCCACCGGACCTCCCGAGCTCCAAGCTGAGCAACGCGGAAAGGATGGCGAAATCCAAATGGCTGTGGCTGAAAATGAAAGACCTAGGGTTACGCAGGTTTTAGTCTTTGTTTCCATTTACCAAGGTGCCATTTTGGTACATTTATTTGAGCCACAGTCAAATGGCTTGGATTTGTTGCGCAACTTTGGGGGAGTTCCAACCTTGGGCTTTTTTCAATCGGAAGCCTATGGGTTTCCTGCGTGATTTGAACTGCTGCTGTGTAAAAATCTGGAAGCCCAAGCGCCTCCAAGAGGTGACCAAGGTTAATTAGAGTGGCTTACAGGTGGCAAGGCTTGCATAAACCACCAAGTTTCGGATGAAACGGGCGCAATTACACAAAGGTCCTGAGGTGATCAGTTTGGAGTTTACTGGGGGCCAACCAAACTGCCACTTGTGTATGTCAACCACTCTTTTTACCCTTTTTGAGATAAGCTGAGATGTGGGGGGCTAAGCCAAAGTGCTTGCTGGAATAGTCTTGTTGTATTTAATTATTTGTCCCGGTCCTTTTTGCGGGTTATCCGAAGAAGCGGGGAGCAGTTCTATTTGAGGTCCACTATGGTTATAAATGTTATACCTGGCTTCCTTTGGGTGGGATGTTTTGTTTTTGCTTTGGGGGGGAGGTTCCATGTTTTAGTCCACCCGGAAAACTTAATAATGATGGGAGGGAAGCTGTCTGAGAATGATCCGAGAACCGAACAAGTGAAGGGAGGCAGTGTTGTTGTGGCACTCAACCAAAGTGCTTGGACCCCGTGTTGGGTTCGGCTTCTCCGAAAAAAGGACATAACAGACGACGATATACATATATATATATATATATTTGCCAGAGACTTGGGTGAGTGAGTTAGGTGACGGCGGACGGTGGGTACCTCAAGGACAACATCAAGGCCGACGCCACTTGGAAGGAGTGCACCAAGCTGGACTGGACCAAAATCGCCAGCTTCGAGGATGAGCAGGGCAAGCTCAGCGGCGAGCACGTGGAAAAGCGCCTTGTATCTTGATGTCGCCCCGATATCGGTCGGTGAGGTTTCTACATACATATATATATATATAGAGATCTTCGTCGCGGCAAGAATTCTCTGTTGGATTTGCGGCACTTCTTCCTATGTTGTGGCGTTTTTATGTTGACTTGGGGCAGAAAAACATGGGGCCCACCAACAAATGCAGCTTAAACATGTGTTGTTTCATAACAGGAAACGGACCCTCCCAAAATGGATTGGCTCCTGTAAAGAAATCCAGTAAAAGGGCTCCGGGTTAGAGCCAACAAAACCGGGCGGTTTAACTTTCGGTGACTTTAGACGGATTTATTATATGCACGTCCACTTGTTTCCACCCTTTCCAGCTGTCCAATGTTCACCTTTTATTCAAAACAGATCAAGGAATCGTTTGCCTTGTTGGTTGCCAGTTTGCTTCTGAAAGCCCCAGATATCATTTTGATTGTGTTTTTGTTTGTGGGTGTAAGCTCGTGGGATGGCTTTTGCAAACTCTCGTTTGGGTTAAGTATGACTTTTGGGACGTAGCGAGACAGTCAGTTCGGTTCTCAGTGCCGATGATTCTGCCAAGAGTTCCAACTCTCGTTTTTGTCCAAGCGTGGCTTCTTTACCCCCAGTGTCCATTTGCAAAGTCGGGGAGTTCTTGGTCAGCGGGCATTTGGATCCTTGGCCGTCAAAGCATCCTTAGCCAACTATGCAAAGCGAACATCCCAGAGTTGTTCCACCTTCACCCCCTTTGGGTGGGGATTGCATACCTCCAGGTTGACATGACAATCATCCCTTGAGCAGTGGGATGTGGAGGTGTGGATGCGCACTATTGTCTGAGCATGTAACGCAGTACCCCCCCAAAAAGTTGGACTTGCAACCTCCATCCAGAATCCACACCTGAGAATGCCCGATGGCAACTGGAAGCTCTGTTCGAACGAAGAACGTCTGCAGGATGATGAAGGAGCTCCATCTGGAGCAGTGCATGGGCGAAGACGGCGAGTGGGGCAAGGACGGATCGGAATTCAATTGACTCGCCAACCGGCAACTGGGAATTCAGCCAACTGGCCCAAGATGGGTACCCGAAATGGAACCCTGGCAAACGGAAACACGGAGGAGTAAGACCTGCGGGAACCTGGCGGTTGAATTTTGGCCACCATATCCATATTGCAAAGATGGTAAGACGGCCATATTGGTAAAAATGGTCATGCACCCCCTAGGGAGCAAAGCTCCAATTCAGGGCACCGTGGCTGTGGGCCGACATATGTTCAGGTGTTTTTTTCTGTGAGTGGCGGGCCATTGTTGTGTCTTAAAGTAGTTTCAAGTACAAGCCCAAGCCCCAGTTGACCGCCCAAAGATTATGAAGGCAGTTGCCCGACCTAGGTTTTGGGTCAAAGGATGGTCGTGGGCTCGGGATTCTAGACCTTGCAAGCGAATCGACCGCCATTTACAGAGTTCGCCAAGGTCCTAAATCACCCGGGTCCGAACTGCTTTCCGGACACTTGGGATTGACCTGCAGTTGAGAAAGCAGTTGCTGGGGGGCGGGTCCGCTCATCAACTGTATTGCCAGGTCGGTTCTCTTGGTCCTTTTGGTTTCCTTGGTTCCGAAAGCCAATCCTTGACCTTTTTTATTTGGAAAACCCGCCCCTTTTGGAAGTGTTTAGCAAATAACCCACTTGAAGTGGCCGTGCATGAGTGATGGACCCAAAGAAGTTCCAGTGGGCAAGTGGGTATAGCTCAAAATTAAAGAGCTAGGGTTACCTAGGTTTTGGTCCATGTTTCCACTTACCAGGGTTCCATTTTGGTACCGATTTTCTGAGCCACAGCCAAGTGAGCCCAAGACGTCGGCTTATTTCTCTCGTCGGCGGCGTCGAGGATCCCACCTGCGAAGCGGTCCGCGCAGCGCTGAAGGTATCCACCGACTTGTCCCACGAAGCGCCCCTCGGGACTCGTTGACTCGGGGGGGAGGGGGGTTGAGAGGGGAGGGGGGTTGGGGGGAGAGGGACATCAAAACCCTTTTAAGTACGTGGTTTTCCTTTTTGGCTTCCTTTTGGCTTCCCTGAAAGTCGTGGGTTTCCTTTTCCGGCACCCGCGTCCCAAGAAAGGATTCCAAACTCAAGCATGTCCAAAAAGCAGTGGGGTACATGTAGGATATCAGGACACCTTTTGTTGGAAGGTGACCCCCCAACTACTTCTTCAACAATGCAACCAAGACCGCAAAACAGTGCTGGGTGCTGGTGCAGGATTTGGGGAGTGGGCGGCACATATGGCAGAAAGTCCCGGCAGATGTGTCTGGCCGTTTTGTTTTTGGGCTTCACGGCACGGCAATGTGAACTTCAGATTAATCCGGAGGACGAGAGAAACCCCCCCAAACATCGTTCCTTACAATTCCCGATAGCTTCAAGTAGCCCTTTATCCTCGGAGGTTTGGTGCTCTTGGGGCTTGAACCCCTGGTTCTTGGAGAGGCTAAACGGGAAGCTTCCCCCCAAGCCCCGAACCACCAACCCAATCCACTCTTGCTGGAGGGTTCCCTTTTTGCTTGATGGTTTAAGGGGACCGAAAGGATAACCAGCGTTTTGGGGAATGGGTCAGGTTTCCGGGAAGCACTTTCCGGAAGCATAAGCACCGAGCTATCCCAAATTATCCACAACCCCTCAAACTGCTCGAGAACGAACATGGTTGTGTTTCCAATGCTCTCCCTGAGGCTCCATGATACTCACATTTGGGGATGTTCAGTGGTGATTTAGGCACATGTAGGAACCTATGATCTACAAGCCTTTGGGCTCTGAAACACTAGACCACGGTTGGCCCGAAAGCAGAACATCGCAAGCGAGGTCGGCCCAACGCTGCAGGATGCGTTCTTTTTCCCTACACGAAGCATTTGTGAAGCAAGCGCGAGACAGCACCAGGCAAGGTGCTCTGCGCAAACTGGTCGGTGCAAGTTGGTCTGCGCAAGTTGCTCTACGCAAGTTGCACTGTGCAAGTTGCTCTGCGCAAGTTGCTCCGCGCAAGTTGCTCCGGCAAGTTGGTCCCTGCAAGTGGCTCCCTGCAAGTTGCTCTGTGCAAATTGCGCTCCCTGCAAGTTGCTCTGTGCAAGCTGCTCTGTGCAAGTTGCTCTGTGCAAGTTGCTCTGCGTAAGTTGCTCTGCGCAAGTTGCTCTAGGCAAGGCGCTCTGCGCAAACTGGTCGGTGCAAGTTGGTCTGCGCAAGTTGCTCTGTGCAACTTGCTCTGCGCAAGTTGCTCTGCGCAAGTTGCTTTAAAATGCAAGTTGCATCTTGCGACGCCCGCCCGCGGACCAGGGAGGAATCGAACCCGCGACCCGCCGGTTCCGGGAGCAGGCGCGCGAACCACGAGACAACTCCCGAGGACCAGTTCGAACAACAAAAGTCGCAAAAAACCTCGAGTTTTTGCACCTCGACCACGCCGATTCCCGCAGAGGGTTGCGCGAGCACCGCAGAAATCGCAAAAAACCATGGGTTTTTGCACCTCGACCACGCCGATCCCCGCAGAGGGTCGCGCGAGCAGCAGAAATCGCAAAAAACCATGGGTTTTTGCACCTCGACCACGCCGATCCCCGCAGAGGGTCGCGCGAGCAGGCAGAAATCGCAAAAAACCATGGGTTTTTGCACCTCGACCACGCCGATCCCCGCAGAGGGTCGCGCGAGCAGGTTAGAAATCGCAAAAAAACCATGGGTTTTTGCACCTCGACCACGCCGATCCCCGCAGAGGGTCGCGCGAGCAGGTTAGAAATCGCAAAAAACCATGGGTTTTTGCACCTCGACCACGCCGATCCCCGCAGAGGGTCGATTTTCGTGTAGTGTCGTCGGCACTACCCCGCCGCCCTAAGAAGAGATTTTAACTCCTCGCAAGTCAATTGCACTTGACTCCTTGCACTTGCAACTTGCACTTGACTCCTTGCTTGTTTCAAGGAGTCATTGCAAGGAGTCATTGCAAGGAGTCATTGCAAGGAGTCATTGCAAGGAGTCATGGCAAGGAGTCATTGCAAGGAGTCATTGCAAGGAGTCATTGCAAGGAGTCATTGCAAGGAGTCATTGCAAGGAGTCCATTGCAAGTTGCAAGGAGCCAAGTGCATGGAGTCAAGTGCAAGTCGCAAGTGCACGGAGTTAAGTGCAAGTTGCAAGTGCAAGGGGCCAAGTGCAAGGAGCCAAGTGCAAGTTGCAAGTGCAAGTTGCAGTCAAGTGCAAGTTGCAAGTGCAAGGAGTCAAGTGCAAGTTGCAATCCTTGCCATGACTCCTTGCAATGACTCCTTGCAATGACTCCTTGCAATGACTCCTTGCAATGACTCCTTGCAATGACTCCTTGCAATGACTCCTTGCAATGACTCCTTGCAATGACTCCTTGCAATGACTCCTTGCAATGACTCCTTGCAATGACTCCTTGCAATGACTCCTTGCAATGACTCCTTGCAATGACTCCTTGCAATGACTCCTTGCAATGACTCCTTGCAATGACTCCTTGCAATGACTCCTTGCAATGACTCCTTGCAACTGCAATGACTCCTTGCAATGACTCCTTGCAATGACTCCTTGCAATGACTCCTTGCAATGACTCCTTGCATTGACTTTCATGATGATGATTCCTTGCAATGACACCTTGTAATGACTCTCATGAGAACAACTCAAGTGAACCCAGCGGAAGAACCCTTCGCCATGCTTTCGGGAATATGCGTTTGTTTGGTTACCTTTTGTTGGAAAAAACAACGCCTCCCTTTTGGGTTTGGGGTTTGGTTCTCACTTGTCGTCTCCGTTCCGAGGTTCGAGCCACGGTACCACAACTTCTCGGTGGTCGCTTGGGGCGAGAACCCTTCCTGGGTGCAAGGCAGGATGCCTTGCCGCTCGCGCGAAATCTTTTCCGAGGCTTCCCGGTGACCTCCGAAACCCGCAAAACGTCCATTTGCTGAATGTCGGTGATTTCTTCATGGGAAAGGGAATCTATCACTGGAATGATGTTCCCAGTTTTTCCTCAGCAAATGGACGGCAAATGGACTGGAAGAAACTTTGTCAAGGCCTTACTGGCCACCTTCTGCAGTTTTTGTTCACGCGTCGGAACCAATGGGTGAAACGGGTCAGATGGAAGGCATGAGAAGAGTGGTGTCGGCCAGGATGGGTTTCCCGCAAATCACGTTTTCATGACACAGAAAAAGAAGCCGACCCAGACAAGACACCCGAGGGGGATGGTTGTTGTATGTTTTTTTTCCTTTTTGCTAGGGGGCGGGGGCAAGGGGGGGAGGAGTGGAGGGTGGAGGGGCAAACATTTCAGCGGGTTCGTATCCGGCGGCGAATGGTGAGGATGGTTTCCAGAGCTAGGGGGGTCAAAATCCATAGTCATAGTCATAGGCCTTGGACCCAATTTCAATGAAGCTGCGGCTGCTTCATTGTGGGCACGAAACCATGTTCGGGTTACCTTGTTTTCGGTTGTGTGTTTGGGGGCGCACATCTCTTGATGATCCCAACAATGTTTGTCATAGGGAATCCCCCAGCTATGGGAATTGGAGGGTTGAGACTGCCTCTTGAAAGCCCCGAAGTCAAACATGTTCGCGGCTTTGCGTATTGTCGGATACAGATGGCCACAGACCGAAGACCAGCTGACTTCACGGATCTTGGACAGGTGGTTGACTTTAAGGCTGATATTGGATTCGGAAGTGAGTTGGGGCAAAGCTGTTCACCAGATGTTCCAACTCACAGCGCATCCCAACATTTGGCGGGTGGATTGGCCGGACTCTTTTGTTTCTATTCGACAATTGTATGGGGGTCGCCCTATGGTGGACCTGGACAGGCACCGTAGTGGACCTGGACTACTCCAAGCCGATGCCGGTAAAGGCAAAGGTGAAGGACCCCAAGGGCGTCATCGGCTACGCCATTTGTGACGCGCTGCGGGCAACTCGGCAACGCGGAGTGAGTGAGCGCAGGTGCGCTCTCGCTGAGTGAGGGGGGGAGGTCATTTTGGTTTGAGGAGCTTAGGGGAAACCATCATGCAAAACTATAAGGAATCACCAATTTGTAGCCACCAATGGCACTTGGCCGATTGAGTCAACCAGATGAGACCCCAATTTTCTCCATGTGGGCGTGAGTCAAAACAATTGGACTTCTTCTTGGATTTTTTAAAGGGAAACTAAGACGACACCAAGCACCTGATGGGGTCCCTAATTTTGAGAAATGACCCGATTCCTTTGTTGGTTTGTTATTTTGGTGGGGTGAGGCTGTCCGGTCAATGGGAAGCTTCAAGCGGCCACAAGTCCATTCGGAACATACAGAAGGCCCGGCCGCCCGGGAAACAATGTTATTTCCTCGTCTCAGATGAAGCAGTCAAAATGCAAGGACCCCAAAAAGGCATTTCGATGTGTCGTTTTGGTTTTCCTGTAAGCCAACCTAAGAAGCTGGCCAACTCAAAAACACCAGTGGGCACTTCCTTGCCCAAAACAAGGCAACAAAAAAAAACGGGAAAGACACAAGCATAACAATGGCAAGTTGTCCCTTCGACTTCCCCTTTGAAGCCAACCTAAAAAGGCAGCTCAACAAATTAAAACGCCAGGAGTGGGTCGGTCCCCCTCCGGTTTCCCTCTCAACCTTTCTGGGTTCAACTCAAAGTCTGGACCTCACTTCCTGAGTTCTTGGACTTTAAACCCTTTGGGCTTGGACCATTTTAATGGCAAACAAACAGTTTATGAACTGTTTTTTGCCGTCTCAGGAAGTGAGGGACCTCTTTTTTCTCTCAAGCTTTCAGGGTTCTCAAAGTCTGGAGGGGTAAGAGGTGAGAAACAAAGTCAGGAAACAGCTTGGAAGTCAGGAAATGGCTTGGTCCTGTCTCAAGTCTAGGTCATCTTGACGCAGAGTGCCGACCAGATGTCTACGGGCACCTGCTCCTACGTGGCCAGCCTGGCCGCCCTGAGCCACAAGGCCGAAAGAAAGATCCCCAGCTGTCAAGGAACTTTTTGGTGTGAGAACTGCAAAACATGATCACCCTACGGGGGAGAAAACAACATGTGTTGTGTTTTTCGTTTTTTTTTTGTTTTTGCTTTTTTGAGAAAGAGACACATAAGCTTGTATCGTTTGCTCCTCTGTTTTGTGATTGTTCCGGAGTCTGGAAAACAGCATCATCTTGGCTATCATATTATGGAGTCCCTAACAGATGGCCCGGCTTCCAGAGCTATACTTCTTTCCGGGGGCAAATGGTTTCCCGGTTCATCGTTGTTTTTACCGGAGATTTCGCTGGGGTATTCGGGACCTTTCTTGTTCCGTGTGATTCCAGTTCCCTGGTGAACCAAGGGAATCAGCCTCAACCCAGCAACATGGCGAAGGGTTGCATAGGTTATCCAGTAGTGCCCTTTCTCACCCCTTTTTGGGGGAGGGTTCCCCTACTAAAAAAAGACTACAGAAAAAAAAAAAAAAAAAAAAAAAAACAGGGTACCCTTATGCTAAGCTCTCAAATCTGGAGGACCTAGCATAGCTAATTTCGTGCCAGATCCAGATCCATAGGCTCCATAGGTTTTTGTAGGACCAGATAACTGGGATCCACCCGTTCGTGGAGCAGATCGAACGGTCCACGAGCTGCTCAAAGGCCCCACCCCAAACGAGTGTCTTTTTTTGGGGTACCCGTGGCCCATAACCTGCGCGCGTTTTTTGTTGGACTCGGTGCGTCACCTTAGTTGCGCAAACCAAAGGGGGATACTTCGCATGTCCGAATCCCCCAGCTTGAAACAGACAATTCTTTGGGGGACTGGACCTCAATCCGGGTGCAAGCCGTATGCGGCAGGCTCCTGCAAAGCTCATCAAGTTGGGTGTGCGCCTGTTCTGGACAGGCGCGCGATGGGTTTCGATTGGCACGTTTTCGATGATGGGTAGTTTTTAGCAGCTCGCTTCCGATTGCAGCTCCCATGCCAACGTGAAACTTAGCTTCGGGGGCGACTTGTGCACCCGCTAAGCCAGGAATCAGGATTCCGTTTGCCTGGATTGAAACTACCCTTAAAGATTGAACTATTGCCCTAAATCCATGGGGAGGTTCGCCCGTTTTGGGGCGGGTCGCGTCGCGTCCGCTTTGTCGGGCGTCAGGCATGATCACCCCGGAAGTGGGCCCGGCCTGTGATGGGATCTACGAGCAGCAGCCAGGACTCATTCCTTTCCAGAGCGGGCCGCTTGGCCAAAGCTACACCAAAAAAGACCCAAAGCTGCCAACGAGTCGGCAAGTTGGCACCCCTTTTTTGTGGTTTATAGAGGGAAAAAGAGGCCCAAAGGAAAAAAGAAGGTCCCCTGAAAAAATCATTTGCAAGTCCACAACCCCAGTTCACCAAATGCAAAGCTTCCAGTTGGCCATTTTAGCAGGTGGTTCTACTACCACTCTTCAGCAAAGGTTGCAGTACGGCTTATAGAACCTTCGCCACGGAACCAAAAGTTGAGTGAGCCCTTAACCGGATGTTATGCTTGGGATCTCTCTGCAAAAACCCGGTCTTCATAGAGTTTTCAGCAACAAGTGGGGGGGTGGTTGTGCTCGTGTTCTTGTTTTAACTAGTTGTTGTTGGTTGGTACATTGGAAACCAAAAGGAAACCGAAGCGGCGGAGCAACTTTCGGGGAGCTTTCCAACTTTCCGATTCGCGCGGGCGGTTTTCCAACTTTCCGATTCGGGTGGGTTTGGTCAATGTTCGGGAAATGGAATTGGGGGACCATTCTCGGGGTGTCCGAGCCATCTCCCGTTTTGGAACCTCCAAAAGTGGGCGGTTTCAAGAGAAAAACACAGTACACTGCAGTTGGACTTCAAGCTTCTTTTGGGATCACCAAAGACAAGCAGAACTGCTGGGACGGGCAACCAAACATATTGAGATGATTTTGAGTGGACCTGTCCTGGATCTGAAGCTGATCTGAAGCTGTCCTGAGCCCGAACTCTAGGGGTCTTCCTTTGCGGACACGTCAATGTGTGTGTGTGTGTGTGCCTGTGTGTGTCTACCTACGTGTGTCGTGTGTGTGTGTGTCTTGGTGTTTTCTGTGGGAAATCCCAGGCACAGATGGTTGGCGGACAAAGGTCTTCATGTAAATGCTGTCCACCAAACGGTCCACTCAAAATCATCTCAATATTGTTGGTTGCCGAACAACCAAATATGAATCTTTGGTATGAATTGCTTCCCCTGAAGCATTGGTCCCCCCAACAGACGGACGAGCTGGGGGGTAAAACAAGCTCAACCCTGATGTTCTGAAAATATCTTCAGGGAGTCCCCCAATAGGTCTCCAGGATTCTTGTTCACCAGATTTTACCATAGATGGTTCCCGTGGTCACCTAGCATGTGTTCACTGGAAGCACGTGGCATACACCAGGGGTTCTGGTCGCATTTTGCTGAGCATCCTTCACCACGAATCGGTTTGGTCGGAGGGGCGGCTGGATCCCGGCGCTCTACTCCAACGGGCGCAAGGCGAGCGGTTTGTGTTGCCGTTTTTGCGGTTGGCCGCTCCGTGCTGTTCACGGAAGTTCTGGCATGGGGCATTTAGATGAAACTTAGCTATACCATGGTGGTTATTAAACCCACTGTTGTTATGTTAATAGCGAAGGCTCCCTTGACCAAAATTATGCTTGGAGACAGTTTTTTGGAGGTTCTATCATTATCTACTCCTCCATTTTGGCGCAGGAATCCAAGAGTCTTGAGGCTTGATCTTTCTCGGAAAAAAATGATTTGGCGCTCCAGAAACTTGGAAAATCCTCCGGGCTTTCCAAACAATGCAGCCCGCGAATGGCACCTCGAAAGCAGGCGCAGAACAACATCCGGCCTTACATCTGACACTGCATCACTTGGTTTCCCAGGTTGGCTGGGTGGTTTCTTTTCCGGCGTTTTCCTCAGACCAAGAACCTTTGGGTTTTTACGGCTTTGGTGTTTGGTATTGTTTGTCGTCTCCCCTTGCTTTCTTTTTTCTTTTCTGCCGCTTTCCCTTGGGTTTTCTTTTTCCTGTTTTCCCCTGCGTTTTCGGGCGTCAGACGGGCCCCTTGGGTCTTCAAGGGCCTCAAGGGCCGGGCCCACGCCACGTTTCTTCGGCGAGGGCGGCTGCGCGGGCAGCGAGATGGACTGCGAGGCCTCGGAGGGCCGGCCCCAGCAGAACGCCGGGCTCACGCGCCTCGCTTTCGCTTTGTCGCTTCGGCGCTGATTTTCGGATCGAAGGAGATTTCTAGGTCCAGTAGATCAGCGAGGCAGTGGGGTCACAGGGTGGTATTTCCCGGCAAGAAACACCCGGGAATTCCACCAGCTTCCCAGGAAAACTGGGGCCCCCAGATAGGTGCCAACTTTTAACCCCTTTTGGGTTCCCATACGAAAATAGACTACAGAAAAAGTTGGTAGCCTTATTCTAACCTCTCTACTGGAGGACCTAGATATGCAAAGTGCGGAGATGCTAAAGACTTCCAAGTGGTAAAGCGTGCAGCTTCTTGTTTTCGGCTTTGATCAAGCTTTTGTCTAGAGCAACAAAGGGTGGCGGTGCTAACTTTCTTAAGTCTGTTTTTTGCATGTAAAGCTTTATTGGTTTGTTGGCTAGTTACGTCCCCTGCCCTAGAAAAAAACCGGCCTGATTTTCGGGGCGTGACGTGCCGTGACTTTCGAGCTTCGTCCTTTGGAGCGTTTGCTCGGCGCAAGCCGTGCTGAGGTGGTCCTGGACGCAATCCCTCATCAGCACCTGGAGCCCCGGCCTTGTCCCGAATCCACGCTGGTCCGGTGGAGTATGCTGGGCTGGGTGTGGGTCGTTGACAGATTGGGAATCACTTCTGGGGGAATACCAACACGTTTCTCTATGAGCAGTGGACCGCTCAAATTGTCGCCTGGAGCCTTTGAACAGAAGGAATGTTGACAGCCGGATGCGTGAAACCCGAGGATGAAGCAGAACTTTGGCTACTGC